TCTCTAAATGTCGCCGTTAACCATTTAAAATTAAATGATGTTTCCTGAACTGAATCTTGGCAGAACATGCAAAAAGTTTATTGAATGTGTAATTGAAAGAGGATTTGTGAAGGACTAAAAAAGTTGACAACTCTGACAATTTTTTTTATTTTTTAACTACGCCCATCCCTTGTATGAAAAATGTAATAGACTCTCATAAAGCAGTAAACATTTTACGAAAAGTTCTTTTTGTCCGATCAGTTTAAAATCAGTTTATTTGAGGTAATACTAAAATACCGCGAACAACCACGAACATCCCCAAACTACTACAACTAATTCTATTAAAATAAACTAACTACTATAATTAATTGTAGTTATGTCATACCTAAAAAGGTGACTTTTTTCAGAAATTTTTGAAGATATTCTTTTCTGCTTGAAAATAGTACCAATAGACTCAAAACAACCTGGAGATGAATTTGGCACACTATTTTGGGTATTCGTTAGATGTTTCCATACTCAGTTCATCAAGCTCTGTCGATTGGTCAACTCAGATTTTAATTTGGGGATGCTCGTGGCTGTTCGCGTATTTTAGTAATATTGGTTTATTTGTAAGTCGCCAGCAATTCAGTGATCATGCTGGCAGGATTTTGGTTTTCTTGTTATGACTGGATAGAGCCCATCGAGTTGCCCAGAAAAAAACTCCATTTTAGACTTTTCAAAAGCATTTTAAGGTGGAAACATGTTAAAATATCATTTATTAAAAATAGGGAGACTGAAATTTTGAAAAATGTGCGAAATTTTCCTGATTAATGTTTTTTGAAATCAGTTGCAGAATCAGGAAAATACACTTGTGTTTTACTATAAACACAAATATTATTCAACTTAGTTTTCGACGCTGATTCCGGAAAGCCCTTGACTTTGCTGAAAAACAAAGGATTGGTGGTGAAATGATAAAGCACAAATGCGTTTCCCTGATTCTGCAACTGATTTCAATTTGCTATCGCAAGTGCGATTCCGCCACGGTTTTTTACTAAGTTAAAATAGTCATAACTTTTTAACGAAAAACAGTGAAGAATCGACCAACGTTTCATTGGAAAGAAGAGAGGAAGTTCTTTAAAACTGAGTTCAGGCGAATTCTTCAAAAACTTTTATTGTGGAGAAAAAATGTAATAAATATGTGCCCCTAAGTTCATTTTTTTGTCAAAGAACATCGAAATTCTCTGAATGTTTTTCGCGTCAACGAAAGTTTTTGAAGAATTTGCCTGAATCCAGTTTTAAGAGCTTCGTCCCTTCTTTCCAACAAAATATTGCTCGAGTCTCCACCGTTGTTCGTTAAAAAGTTATGACCATTTTAATTTAGTGAAAGATCGAGGCGAACTCATACTAGCCGTAGCAAACTTCGATGGATAAAGCCGATAGGGTTCTGTACAGAACATTCTGCTGTGCAAGTTTCACTATTCAAATTTTTAAGCAAACAGTGTATTACAGATGAAAAATCACTCTTAATGAAAAAACCTGATATGTTATTTTCAAGTTTTTGTGAAACTCTTTTGGTTTTCTCCGAACGTTTATTAGGCACAAATGGCTTTTCTCGCAATAACAATATAAACGACGCAATTAATCAGACAAATGTTGAAGGGAATAAAAAAGCTACTGGTAATGATGATGTTAAAATTGTTGTTGATGCTGCAGATAATCTTCCCGTTTCTCATCATTTTGGTAAGAGCTAACAACATAAGCTTGATACAACATTGGTAATAACAGTTTCTGTTGTTTTTCCGTAAGATGTTGGTTCCGGCAATAGTTGTGGTAACAGGCATAAGCTGTTGAAATTATCTGATCAATATTTATTTTAACATACTCTTTCAGATCAAGGAGTTGGCATTGATTCAGAAGAAGTTGTGGATGAAGATAAGTATAGTTTTGGAGAAGATGGTAAGTTTCTCATTAAATCATAAATATTAATATCTATCATGTTTTGAACTAATGCTTAGGTGTCAAAGATGATGGTGTCTGGGAAATTGCTGCTAATGATTTAAGAACTATTTGCCGAATAAAACCTCATGTTGATGTAAGTTCTGATGATTCTTGGTGAATAAATTCTGTTCGATCCGAATCGATCAGACTAACAGTCCTATAAGCTGCAGGATTAAGGATGAGCGATAATGCGTAATTTTCTATCAATCACGATAGGACAGATTCAGAGGTGAAGTCATTTATCTCCCTAATGTTAAGAAGTTTCTGCTCAAGATATGTAAAATTTTTAATTGTATCTACCCTTTCACTAAATTCTTCTAGAATTCTTTAAGCTATCAACGGATCTTTTGCGAACGATTAAACCTTTTTGCTTTCTCGGCGAAAAAGCTTTTTATAGCTATTTAGCTCTAGTATTCGAGAGTGCAATAAAATAAAATAAAATTTACTCTCTTCGGCAGAAATAGCTCAGTGTAAATACGATGATTTGCATCGTCGTATAAAATCAGTATCGATAAAAGCCATTTACAGAAAGCAGCACATGAAAATGTTTTTTGCACAGCGACCTCAGATAGGCCGATTAATTTAGCAGTTACTTCTCTCACTCTGAAACATGATTTTGCGCACTCCAAAGCACTTATTCTTCTAGTACACTCTTTTGCTTCTACAAACAAGTGAAGAAGTTTAAAGGACTCTTTCGAAAAAAAGGCGCCAATGAGAAAAATAAAATTTAGGCAAAAACTACGTTGATTATGGCGACTCCCAAAAAGAAGTGAACGCGTAATTATAAGGAACCCGCTGTCGGATTCACCAAGAAATTTTGCAC